TGCTATATAAATGGGCCTTGCAGAGAAAGTTGCAGGACAAACCTCATGTGAGTTAGTCATTTACTGGGTTGTTCACTTTGGTTGATTAGTAGGAAAACCATTGATCTCATCAATTTACCTAATGATGATGCCCCATACTACTTTTGTCAGCATTAATTTTAGAAATTGAGAGATTTTTTTGTTACTAGGAAATAAAAATGTTTTTAATATATGCTTACATTTATGTCTGTAATTACATGCTTACAGAGCTATGTCTCCATTTTTAATCTTTTATAGTAAATAATCCTGATTTTAAGGCTGGTGTAATGGCTTTGGCTAACCTTCTTCAGATTCAGCGTCATGATGATTACCTGGTAATGCTTAAGGTCAGATTCATATTTTTTGTTCATACATGTAACAATTTTAAAAACTCATTTTCTAAGTAATTATATGTTTATATATAATTTTTAAAATCTTCATTTTGTAAAAATAATTATGTTTGATATTTAAATCTGTGGTTGAATGAGTAAAATGTGAAGGGATGTAGGATATAAACTGGATTTAATTAGTTCATTGGCATTAGATTACCTAACAACCAATATCAGTATTTACTATGAACCTGCCTCTGTGCTAAATCCTTTGCAAAGATGATCTCGCTCAGTCTGCCCAACAGTCCTAGGGGTAGTGAATGATAATAGATAAATAATGTTCAAGCTGACACAGAAAATGATAGGATTTAAACTAGACACTGGACACAGAAAATGAGTCAGGATTTAAACTAGACACTTGACCTTAAACTAGCCACTCAGTCCAGTCTTCCTCCTGTATCACCCCACCTCTTTTTAATTAGTCCTTTTAAAGATTCATGGTCTGTAATGCGTTAAGATTGTGGAAAATGCCAAACTAGTAATGGTGCATTTGGTCAAAAATATATACCCCTAAGTCTCTCTGAGGAATGAATGTTTCAGTCCTCCAAGCCCCCCATCCTAGATAGGCCATTCAATTCAGTCCTTCCATCAGGGAATCTAAAGGTCTGAAAGACATGTCTTATTTCTGAGAGGAAAAATCTACTCTTGCTTCAGACGATTCATGTTGAGTAATTATGATAGTCTGGTGGGGGAGGGGCAGGGGAGTGGTCCTTAGGATACCAGATTTGGAAGTTATTTTAGAAATTATTATTGATTTTTATGAGAAATTAAAGAGCCTTAAATTACTTTAAACTACTTGGCAGGAAATTAATTTCACTCTCCCAACAAGAGATTAAGCCATACTTTATTCTCCTTTTTAGAATTATATTAAGTGACAATTGTAAGAAGGGGAAGACTATTCTATTCCTAGATTATTATAATTCTTTCTGCTGAATCTGAATGTTAACTTGGATCATCTCAACTCTGATTGGATGCCAAGAGACAAAAGTTGTTTTTAGTGAAATTTAGCTCTTTCAAAGGCTTGTTCCTTTCTTGGGCAATTACAAAAATTATTTTGGAATAGTTCTACAATGGTTGTGTCAGCCTTAATCATAAACTGAGAGAGAGGAAAACAGTCTATTTGGGACGCTAAAGTATAAGTCAGTTATAATTAAAAGCTATAAAATTCTAATCCTAACTGCATGTTTGTTCTTTTAATTGAAGCAAACATATGATCTAGACATCTTCATAGGTTTGCTAGGTGTGAGAATCAGTACATTAACTGTTTGGCAACTGGACTGTGTAATATATTTGCAGTGACTGTTAGATTGGTTTAGTTATTTTTCAAATGTATTTTTCCAGGTTTTTATTATTAAAAATAATTTTTCACACTTTCACCCTTTGGGGTTTTCACTATCATTCACTAAAATTCCTTAAAAAAAATCTTTACGAGTGTGTGCAAGTGCATGCATGCACTTGTGTCTGCAGTGATAAAATGTGTTGATAATGAAAAAATCAATGGGTCCTATGAATAATCTGAAAAATATTTTACTATAATGAAGTGAAGAACACAAGGACAGTATTATACACTACTCTTTGTGTCAAAGATTGTGTGCGTGCACACACGCATGTGCATGTATCCCTGGTGAGCTAGTAATTTGATAGAGACTTTGTGAGTATGTAGAAGGATCTGGTAGCAGTAATTGTTTTCGGAAACCATGACTGAGGCTTGGATAGAAAGGAGACCTACTTTTTCACCATGTATCCTTCTTTATTAAAAAAATTTTTTACCACACACAAATTACTTATTCAAGAAATGTCAATTGTTATGAACATCATTCCACATTAAATGTTAAAAGTGAAAACTTTCATTACAATAGCTGTTTTATTTTTAACTTGCTGGAGAGTTTGTTACTGAAGTTAGGTATTTCTAATTTCATCATATTGAGCATACTTATTCTATATATTGAGAGAAGAAAAGATAAACAGCCAATAAAAAGTAAAAATAATATTTTTGGGGATTTCTTAGGCAATTCGCATTTTGGTCCAGGAGCGCCTGACACAAGATGCAGTTGCTAAAGCAAATCAAACGAAAGAGGTACGTTGTTTTTTTTTAATCTACATAAATTCTAAATTATTACTGAACCTTTTTTTTTTTGGAGTTTAAACTACTTGACAATGCTTAAGATATTCTGTGTTAGAACTGCCCAGAGAAAGTACTTCAGCAGGGTTGAATTTGATTCTTAAGCAAATTGTCCCCAGTTATATTTGAGTGAAAAGTGAACTTCACATTTATCTCACTTCATTACTTTTAAGAAGCTGCCAGTACCACATTTACAGTCTACCAGTAGAAAACCACTGTGTGTGCTCAGTTAATTTAAAAGAACTTGTGAAATTTACTGGGTTATTTTGACTAACTACTAGAAAACAGGACACACCTCCTCTTTGATACTCATTAGTTTTCCTTTTCTACCTAAGTCTTTATCTCCACCCTTGTGTTTCTTCAGAGAAAGCTCATTTCCTACCATAAACCATGATAAAGTAACTTGTTGTTAATAATTTTAGGATGGTTTCAGATGAATTGTACCAAAAATCCAAATGTCCCTAAAGTCTTCTTGAGTATGGATCAGTGCAGACAGTGTCCTCGGGTTAGCAGCTGCAGATATCTGATAATGCCCCTTCCTGCTACATAGATGAATGTCTTCGTTACAGTCTGTATTCTGAACCCGGGTCCTTCAGTCATGCCTCCTCACCCTCTCATTCCCCAGTGTCTATTGTCCTTTGACCTCATCTTTATCAAAGCCCAGTAGTTTTGAAAGGTTGTTAATGCCAGGGCAGGGTAGTGCTCCTCTGAAAGACACTCAGTTTCTTTTAAAGGTTCTTACTGGCTTATTAATTATGTATGAATCAGGCCACTGGAAACTTAAGGATCAGCTTATTTCACCCCCACTATAGAACAAACAGTAAGTTGTTTTGGCATAATCAAATCATTCATAATCATTCAGCAAAACTATGCCTTTGGTTTGGAAGGCAGTGCAAATAAGGCCATAACCAAATAATCTTTGCTCCTATTTGCCAAGTAAAATTCAGTTTATTTTCATGGTTCCAGATAAATCCTAACTTCAGTGTCAGCTCAGAAGATACTATGCTACAGTAACAACAGTGGAAGAGTTCTGTAGTTTCTTGGTTGCACTCATTCATTACACCGGATTTGGGGCATGAAGTGAGAACTGACAGCTTAGCATTTGTAACATTGAAAGTATTGACTTTAACTGGTAATGATTTTATACAGTATATAATAAGCAGAAAGTCTAAACTGCCTTCCTTATATTTGATAGTTATTGTCCTTATATTTGATAGTTATTGTCCTTATTTTTGATAGTTATTGTCCTTATTTTTGATAGTTATTGTGAACTTTATATGGTTGGGCATTATACCAAAGGTGATTATGATACAGGTGTTGACTGGTTAACTAAATGGTTTAGATTCTGTTCATTTTCCTAGACTATTTCAAAGTAACTTTTAAAATATATAATCTGATAAATGTCATAACCAGAAAAAAGTTGTGTATTTTAGATTTGTACAGTTCATAAAGACAATGTGCTCAGAAATAAAGTTGAGGAAGCTCATGAATAGAAGTAATCCTGTTTGTTCTGTACACTGGCTGCTTACTGTCACTCAAGTGGGACAGCAGCAGCCCTGTTCAACCTTCGCTCCGTAGCTGTAATGATAGCACTGCTGCAGAAAGGAGCTATGCTTTTATAGTGCCTGGTTTTAAAGGATTGGATTGTGTTATGAAACTAGCTTCTTACTACATGGAAAAGCCTTTTTTTTTTGGTAGTAGGAAAAAAGTCACTCATCAAAAGGCATATTTAAAGAGAAAATTCTCAGGCACCATGCCACTGCAGCTAAAAGGGCTAAAATAACAGACTAGCTAGCTGCTTTTCAGTATTAGGTAAGAAAATATAAATGTATAACTATATATAGTCTGATTTTTGTCCTTTTTCCTTAAGGGCTTGCCGGTTGCCTTAGACAAGCATATTCTTGGTTTTGACACGGGGGGTAAGTGATTTTTGTTTTAATTCAAACTTTTTAGAGACTTGGTGATTGTTTGGGGGAAGTGAGTGAATAAATGCAAAAGTTACTGATTAATGCAGTGTTTCTTATGAAACAGATGCAGTTCTTAATGAAGCTGCTCAAATTCTGCGATTGCTGCATATAGAAGAGCTCAGAGAGCTACAGACAAAAATTAATGAAGCCATAGTAGCTGTTCAGGCGATTATTGCTGACCCAAAGACAGACCACAGACTGGGGAAGGTTGGAAGATGAACATTTTAGGATTTCAGCTTCTCACCTACTTAGTACAATTGGGAACCATGTAAGCTTTGGCATGTGTGTGGAAATGTCATGTTTTCGAGGGAAGAATCCCAGAAAATTGACTATGTTCTAGAGATTTACCATCATTGCTTTTTCTTTAATAAAGTTGGGAAGGCGATTTTTTTTTTTTGACTGTGTTTTATGTATTTGTAAAAGTAATCTGCTTTCTCCCTTGTGGTTTTAAGTTCATGGCACGCCCCCCCCCCAACTTCATTATAGACAACACAGATCCTTAAGTCATAGGAAAACTTAAAAATATATTTTATTGGAGTAATCTAGAAAATTTGAGAACTGTTACATCTTTGGTATTTATATATAAATGTAGTAATTTCTGTGGGTAATCCTATAGAGGGATTTACAGGATCAGAAAATACAAATTGAAACATTCTAGCACCTTTTAATATAAATAGAAATGCATTGATGCAGAGGTAAAAAAAAAACAACAAACTTAGAACTTTTGTTGGGAAACTATAAATAAGTTGGTTATTTCCCATCAATTCTGCATTAGCCTTCTCTTAACTATGTCAGGGTTTATGATCTTTTAGGATTGTATTTTTATAGTGATCACATGTGCTTTAATTTCTTGTCCAGAAAGCAAAAACCAGATTTAGGGTCTCAGCATGCTCTAATTGGTTCTTAGTTGAATGAATTTGACCTTTTAAATATGATATAAATGTTTATGGAAAGTTGCCTTTTTAATCTTGAAATAACTTTTAAAAAATACAGTAGTAAAGATTGAGGTATAAACTTTTCACAAAATATACTTAGTCTTTTTGCACCGAAAATGTTCATCTTATATGTCCAAGAACTTCTAATGGCCAGTTCCTTTTCACTTTCACCTTTGTTCCTGGTAAATGTTCTTTAGGGTCCAGATTCCAATTGAAAACTCCAAGTCCATATTTACTTTCTTCCTGTGGAGGGAGGGAACAGTATGTGAGTATTTTATATCTAATTTGCAACAGCAAGTCTTTTTAAAGGGGAAATATCCTAGTAGGCTGACATTTGTTGTGTACAGTTAAGCTTGGTAGATTTAAGGTAGCAGAATGGTCACCCCTATGTGTTGGCCATTAGCTTTTCTAGCTCAGAGTGGCTCTCACTGGTGGTGGCAGCAGGCCAAGGGTGATCAGCTACTAGATCTATCCTCCTCTACCTGGCTGATCCCAAGGCGCTACCTGAGCAGCTCTTTACCTGGGCAGTAGGGGTAGACTGCAGTTATCCCATAGAGGTGAGATCGCTGCTCTGGAAGATACTCGTCAGTAAACTGGCCGGTGTCCCTGTTTACTGCTATAACACCATCCCTGGTAACAGAAAGGAAAAGTGAATTCATAGGATTCAAGACTGGGGTAAGAAAAGTCAGTTTATCAATAAGTGAAATCTCTGCCAGACTTCTCAAGTACATTTAACTGTAGCTTTTGACTCAGATTCTGAAGATGTGTCCGTATCAGTGGTTCTCAAAGTAGTCCTCAGATCTACATCATCTGGGAACTTGGTAGCAGTACAAATTCTTTGGGCTCCTACTCAGATTCTAGAATGGGACTGATCAATATGCTTTGACAAGAGCACAGGATAATTCTGATGTTATGCTAAAGTTTGAGAACCACTGTCCAAATCAGAATTGCTGGGGGTGGAGTGGAAGGACATATTTTTAATGTTTCCCAGTTCCTCTTGGTGAACTAGTGTAAGCTGTAGTATTTTTCATTCTCCTGGGAAACAGTATGTCCATAATGTCATTTTTTTATTCTCTGAAGATCAGATTCAGACTAATTGTCCTTCCTTTTTGGATAGTTTATTGCCAAATAATATTGCTCACATGTAGCTTAAAAATGGCAGAGCTATTAAATTTCTGAATGATATAAAAGTTTGCTTTTAAAAGCAGTAACACTTGAAGAATGTTACCTACTAACAAAGAAAGAATGAAAAAATACTTACTTACGTGGTACTTACTTAAGTACGTACTTACTAACGTGGTACAACAAGTGCTGTGTCCTCCAGAACAGTTTGCCTTTTCAGGCTTGTCCAGAGTGTCAGGCTCACCTTCTCCAGTCGGTGTGGTAGAAGTGATCTGCGTAGCTCACAATGTTGAAGGGGTAGTTGAGGTTGTTTTGAATGACACGCCGTCCAGTTCCATCAGGTAGTATACACTCCAGTTTTTTAGTTCCTTTAAAAACAAAGAGATCCTTTTATATGATGAAAAAACATTTTTCTTTTACCAAAAACAATGGCAAGTAAATTCATTCTCAAAGAAAACAAAGGTGGAATATTTTATCCCCATTGCAATAATACAAATTAAAAACTGTAAAATTTTCCTGTTCTATTACCAGTCTTCAGTTTGTTTAAGAGCATTCTAGTTTTTACTGGAATTTAAACTTTTAATCCTCTTTTGGAAAACAGGATTGCATTTACAGAAACCTGGCTAAGTTTCTTCCAGAGGAGAAGATGATAAAGTTACATCAGTGTTAAAGAAGTTTATGTGTGAACTCATAAACTGTTAAAACATTTGGATAAATACCTGCCCTTTGTAAGCACTCTGTGATAAATAGCCAAGGCTGCCTTTTAGCTAAAATCCTTTTTTTTAAAGACTATATTATTTTCTAGGCAGGAATAAAAAGTAAAATGCTAGCCTGACTTGTATTTAAGTGTGACCTCATGGACTGTATATCCCGTCAGGCTCCTCTGTCCATGGAATTCTCCAGGCAAGAATACTGCAGTGGGTAGCCATTCCCTTCCCCAGGGGATCTTCCCAACCCAGGGATCGAACCTAGGTCTCCTGCAGTGCAGATTCTTCAGCTGAGCCACTAGGGAAGCCGTTTTCTCATGGAACCCTTAAGTAAATTTCAAATACCTATTAAAAATATTACTGTTGTTTTGGGCAGCTGGGTTGTAATATTGATCCACCTGCATTTTTGTCCCTTTTTTTAGAATCAAATTCCTTAAGAACAGCTTTATTTTTTAGTATCTAATGAAACATAAAGTATCTTTTCAGTTGTGCTAATAGTAAAGAAATTACACAACAGAGAGAGAACCTAGGAACAGGCAGCCCAAATTTATTACTAAAGGAAGCTATCCTGCCACATCACTTTTCAAAGAATGTCCCCAGCATACTGACTGTTAGAATAACAGATATTTATAAATGTTGTGATACTGAGACAAGAAAATAATAACCTCTGTTCATTTATCTAAGCCTGTCAATTCCAACAGTGTATAATATTTTTTTTAACCTAAAAGATGTGCCAAGTGCTCATGCTGGGGGAGGGAAAGCAGTAAAAAATAAGTTGGACATCATACTGGCTCTCAAAGTTACCGCCTCATTTATACACGTAAGACCTTAGGAAGTTCACTCTAAGAATTGTTACAAAGTGTCCTTTAAAACAGGGGTCCCAAATTTCTGGGATCTAATGCCTGGATGATCTGAAGTGGGGCTACTACAATTAATAATAGAAATAAAGTGCACAGTAACTGTAACATGCTCGAATCTTCCCAAAATGTCCGGTCCTCCCCCATCCGTGGAAAAACTGTCTTCCATGAAGCCTCTCTGGTGCCAAATAGGTTGGGGACGGCTGCTGTAAAAGGCGTAGAGCATTTGCTGTAGTGTTATAAATTTAAACCAGAAGTTCTAAATGGTGGGATCTGGTTTTATTGTAAAATCAGAGTCCTCACACTTACTGCACGCTGTAGTGTTCTATATTTGCATTCCATCAGTAGTAGTACCTGCATCTGCCCAGCAGAGCAGTTTGGAGAAGGGGTCAAAGGTTAAACCATTCGGTAGTCCAATGTCTTTATTCACTAGAATTCTTCTGTTTTCTCCATCTAAAGACGACATTTCAATCTTAGGTGCTTCTCGATTCCAATCTGTCCAGTACAGGTTGCTGTGGGTAAATGAAATGGAGAAAGATAAACCTTCCTCAGTGTATAGAACCCAAGTTTCAGAGTCAACACTGCTGAAAGTTAAAGCTGAAGGTTATCTTTATATGTCCCAGTTGATGACCTTAGCAGTTATTATAGACAGGAAACACTGTTCTGTTTAACCACTGCCAGTGTGAAAATGGGGCCAGAGGAATAACACGTTTGGTCTCTAAGTTTTGCTTATTTGCACCATTTTACGCAGGTAACCCCACTACGGGTTTAACAACTGGGGTTTCCTAATATGTTGCTGGAGTGAGACCCACCTCATGCCAGCCGAAGTCGCAGGCCTGGCCTGATCCAAAGTATCCCCCAGTCTCTCTCACATTCTCTTCAATTCTCTACATACCACATCACAGGCTTAGTGATTTCCTTGTTATTCTGTCATTCATTAGTTTACTGTCTTATTTCCTAGAAAGTAGTAGAACATAGACTTCATGAAAGGACAGACCCTATCTTTGCCTAAACAGTGCCTGACACCTAGTAGATCCTATGTGAATACTGTTAAATTAATGTGCACTTTTATGTTCATGTTCTGACTGTCCCTACACTGTACTTAGAACCCAAGGGCTTCAAGTGAGGATCAACAGGTAACAGAGGAGAATTAGGGAAGCCCAGCCGACCCCTGGATTGGATCCACAGCGATGGCACGAGGGTTCACCAGGTCCGTGTGGAAGAGGGCCCTACGCTCAGAGCCGTCCAGCCTGGCCCTCTCTATCTTATCCAGGCCGCTGTCCGTCCAGTACATTGTTCTGCGGAAGTGGTCGATGGCAAGACCTTCGGGGCTTATTAGACCTGAAATAAAACAAAGGCAAGACTGAAGCAACTGCAGCTATGAAAGGAGAATCTGAAGCAGAGAGGTCTATGTTCCAACAGTTGAGGGGAAAATCTTGAGAGTCCCTAAAGAAACAGACTTAATAGAGGAGTAGGTCCTTTGCAGTTTTCCTGCCATGTTTAGTTCACTCTAGCCTCACAAGACCCCCCCAGCCTGGTGGCACGAAGCGTTCCCAGGGCTGGGGCCACTCCCTGAGCTCCTACACAAGCCTTCCTGGTCAAAGTCCTATCTAGAAGGTGGATGGGAGACTTAGGCACAAAACAGGCAAATAACCTGGACTGAGTAGAATGAAATGAAACGGGAAGTGTCTTCTGGGCGGAGCTGCTGACCTGAGTTAATGACCGTCTCGGGCTCTGCTCCTGGTTCCAAACTGGCACGGCTAATTGTCCGTCCAGCAACATCTGTCCAGTACACCATCCTCTCCTGGCAGTCATAGTCAATTCCCACGACTATGGAGCCCTGTGTGACCAAAACAGAATTGGAAGAATTCGGATTCCTTGCACTTCCCCTGACTTCATGCTCAGCCACCTCACTCGTTTGTTCATGGCAGCAGTGACCAGCCCTGCAGTGTATGGTTTTGTGGGCAGCTGGGCACAGTGGGTAGAAGTATAGGTGATGGAGGCTGGCTTCCCTGAGCCAATGCCAGGCTTGGCCACTTACTTTGACACTACCTTCATTTTGCAAATGAGGTGACAAAGGCATACAGAAGTTAACAAGCACCTACTTCACATGGCTGCTATCAACATTAATACCATAAAAGCTTATAAAGTATCCTAACCAGTGATGAGTACATTGTAAGCTTTCAATAAGCATTATTACTGTTGGTGGTAAAAACAAAAGTGATTTCATGAAAAAGATCAGCCCATTCAGTGATTAGAGGCGAATGTTAGTCTCAGCAAAGTAAGTCAGCTTTTAACAAAAGCTGACTCTGTCAAATGTAATACAGCACTTTTTCAAAAAGCCTCTTTAAAATTTGCCAACATATGATGAATTCAGCCCTTCCCCGCCCTCAGTCAGATCTTTCTGCTATTTGAGGTGCAGACACCCTTACCCTCTCTCTGCTTCTCTGCCTCTTACTACAAAGCAATCCTTGGGCTGTACTCTAGTGCAAAAGAAAGTCTGTTACAACTTGAAGGAACTGGGGAATGGTGTCCACCTGACTTCTGGCTGGAGAGCTCTCCCCTCCTTCCTTATTGCTAAATAAATGACAAAATCCTTTTTTAAGTGCTGAGTTGGTGATATTCCTTTCCAAAATTCTGCACAGAAGTTGCTTCATTGAATTTCCAGCCCAGACTCCTGCTCTGAGAAGCCCAGCAGATGTGCAGAGCCAATACTGAAGCTGTCCCTGAGGTCTTGCAAGCTCCTTGCTTGCCTAACAAAGCCTCCTGGGGCTGGCGTGACTGGGAGAGGAGTCAGGACAAGAACAGGATTAGGCTACTGTGGGAAAGTGGGGAGTTTTATATAGGAGGATTTTAATTTTCAATTTTACTTGAAAATTGAAAGTTATCTGTCTTGGGCAAGGGGGCACATCCATTACAGGCTTCCATTAATTAACCCAGGGGATCATGGGATTCATTAGCCCATTAATGATTTCAAGCTTTCTTGGAGAAAAAAGTCCCACTTAAATCTTGTAGAGAAACTAAAAATCAGCAGCTAGTGTCTGGAATAACACACAATTCAAATCTCAAAAGGGGGCAGGGGAACCCATTATAAGTGTCGGTGCCTTTCTGGTGAACTCCCTTCTCTTTCCTCCCGTCTTAGTGAAGAAATCCCTGCTCCAAAATGGAGTGTGTTGACCACAGGGAAGCTGTCAGCTCGGGAAGCAGCCAGCATCCCTTGGGGAAAGCCCTGTCTACTCCTTTCCAGGATCACGTGCTCCCCATATTTTCATCTATGACAGATTCAGAGAAGATAAGAAGCTGGTCAACAGGACCAAAGCGGAGGGCAGGGGTCCGCAACAACAAGGCTGTCACTCGTTGGCTTCCAGAATCTGCAGCGATGTCTGTGGCTTAAAGAGAACGCTGGGGGCTGTGGTTAACCTATCATCTTCCCTTGGATCCTCAACGCTGCCTCAGTATCCTGACAACTCTGAAATTCACTTTCCACATGGCTGAAGCCCCACACGCCAACTGGAAAAAATGGCCTTGATCAGTCAGATGCGGCACCTGGCAACAGCGCCCTCCCTTCTGCTTGTAAGGTTCCCAGAGACAGCTGCCAACAAGCCCTCCAGGAGCGTCCCCGCACCTCAGACCCTGCCCAGATCTGACAGTCCAACACAGTCCCACCCCCAGGGGAGAAATCCACTTTACATGCAGCGACAGCAGGGTCTTGGCCACGTCCTTCTGAAGCCTGGTACCATTGAGGGGCAAGTGGCCAATCTGCTGGCCCTGGGCATAGAGCAGGAAGGTGCCCACCGGCGGAGGGGTCACGTCGGGCCGGGGTGTGGGCCGGATCGTGGGCGGAGCCACGGTGGGTATGCCTGTGGTGAGGAAGAGGGAGGTAGGAGGAGGAGAGCAAAGGAAATGGTCAGTGGAGAGAAGAAAAGTTACTTCCCCATTTGCCAGAGCCTCCAGAAACCTCAGAAGTTCTTTACCCCAGACAGATGTGCCCCAGATGGGCCTTAAAAGAAATTCTAATTTCCAGGGTTTTTTCTCCCAAATGTCAATTATACAAATCACTGCCAATTACTGGGGAGGAAGACGACAAAGTAGAACAAAGTTTGAACAAAGCAGAACATCCCCCTTAAAAAAAAAAAAAATCCAGAGCCAGTGTTGTGTCAGCTTCTCTTTGGGGCCTCAGGGTAACACATGTCCCCTTACACCCTGGGCTCAGAGTAGTGGGAGCTGGGGGTAGGACTATATATTGAACTAAGCTCCAGATGTTCTAATTACAGCAACTGCTGATGACAAAACCAAATGTTAAATCCGCATTGGGATCTGGGGCAGACAAGATGATAAATCAGCACAGCCAATCAGCGACTTCTTCCATTGGACCTGTTCACCCCTCATTCCCCCACCTTCACCCACAGCTGGCAGCTTCCCTACAGGGACCTCAACATGGCAGAGGGCAGGGAGGGCTGCCCCAGGGTGCTTACATGCAGGGGTGATGCCCGGCTGCGAGCGGGTGCCCTGCACCTCTCTGCCGTCCCGGTCGACACACCAGCAGAAGTCACTCTTGCCATGGCACTGCAGTGGGGTGAAGTGGCCCAGGTCATCGCACTGAGGCACGTACTGGTCGTCCCTGGGGGTGCCCCCGTAGTGCTCCAGCAGGCTTTCCCTCCAGCGCTCACAGACGGTCCGGGGCCTCTGGGTGGGCTCTGAGCAGATGCGGACAGAAAGCCTTTGAGTGTGAGCCAAGGACAGACTGTAGCATGTGGTTCAAGATCCCCAGGCCTGGCCTCCTGGTCTTCTTCCTCCTCATGTCCATAACGAGGCCTCAGCCAAGCCCCTGGACGCTGGCCCCGAGCAGCAAAGTGCTCCAGGAGGTTCTCCTGGGGATCGGGAGAAGGGGTTGTCCCGATGCTCCTGTGACCCTCAGGCCAGGAGGAGTGTCATCAAGGCCCAGCCACATCAGGATAGAACAAGAGGCGGTAACATCAGCCTGGGAAGGGGCCTCTGCTAACAGCACTTCTGGGGACTCTCCTTGGGGACTCAGTGGCCTACATGATGCTTAAAGCCATTATTTATTCCTTCTTGTTTCAAACTCCGGGACCTGCATCTGAGAGGGCTGTCTCGAGACTGGCCAGTGTGTCTTAGGAAGTATTACCGAATGCCCTGCTTACGTGTGGCCCTACGTATCTGTCCACTGGAAAACTATATTGAGTAAAAGTAAAACTGACTATAATTAGTATGTGTGATCATAGAGTTGGTGGCAAATACTGACTGTGACGCTCCAGCTCCTTGAAGTCCTTTGGCTACCCTGCCCTGGGTTTATCTCAAAGCTGAGGCCCCAGCTTCCCACCGTGTTGCTCTGTCCCTCCCTCTGAACAGCGTCTTTCCCCATCCTCCCCTCCTTCCTTCCTCACTACCGTGCTGAAACTCTCGTTAGCTTCTGTGGCAGAGCAGCTTCCCTACCAGCAGTTTTTTCCCGGACAGCTTCTGCAGGCTGCCAAGGCTCTGTCCCAGATACAGCAGTTCTCTGTCTGACAGGACTCTGCTTGAGGCAGTTTCACTTGACAGTCTCCTAAGATAGGATGACCTACAGGAATTTAAGTACGGATAGAAGGTATTTCTCCTTCATTAATTCCTGCAGCTCAGAGCCTGCAGAATCACGCAGCCAAGTACCTACTTCTGTCACCTTGTGGATGTATAACAGATCTCAGAGGAGAACAAAAACTGGATTTCTCCCCTCAGAGCTCTCCCCTAGACTTCTCCATAGCATTATACAGCATCTCCATCTTTCCATTGCTCGGGCTTACTAAACCCTGACTCCCTTCTCCCACTCTACATCTGATACATCAAAAAAGGTCAGCTGATGTCTTCACATCTCACCACATCTACCCCAGTCATCTCGTGCCAGGATTACTATGTATGTTAGCCTTCTTACTGGTTTCCCTGCTTCCATCATCTTTCCTGCTCCCCACCCTCTGCCCTGCTGTGAACTCAACCAGCAGCCAGAAAGAGTCCCTTGAAAAAAAAGTCATCTCATGTCACTCCTTTGGTCAAAACCTCCAATGAGTTCAAAGAACAGCTGGAATCATTACATTTGAGCACCTGGAAAGCCAGAAGATGGTGAATAAAAGCTTCAGAGCTCCAACCAAAGAAGCCCAACTCCAAGACTCAACCATGTTTGGGGCAAGCTGATGCCCCTCAGGGCCGCTGGAGCTCATAACCCACGGGACGCAAAGCTCTTTTTAAAACATGAAGAAAAAAGACTGACTTCCTCACCCAGATATGTCTCAGAGGACCCAGAGAGGGAAATACCACTTCCTCACACACTCGCCATCGTCACCGGGTGGGATTCCCTGAAGAAGTTCCCAGCATCACCCCTGGTCCACATTCCATACTCAGAGCATCAGTGCTCAGGGGACCACCCGACAAGGCGCACGCAGCAGTCAGCCTCCGGGAAAGGAGTACCTCACGTCACTTACATGTGGGCATCTGTCATTGCTTACTATTTCAAGCTGTTTCTCAATCCAATCATGGATTTATTTCTCTTTCTGGCTGGCAGGGTTTTAAATACTTTTGAATTTTGGGCACAGAGTGTTCTCTCACCCTTGAAAGCAGACCCTATTATGCAGATGAGACTAGTCCGAAATGGCGACCAAGGCCAAACCAAAAGAGAGGCCTGGTCATGGGAAAGAGTCTGCACAAAGGAATATGCCCCTCTTTCTGTAAATAATGTCTCATTCTCTTGGCTCCCTTCTGGATCACTGTCCTTAATACACACCTATCTTAATAAATTTAACAGGATTCTGAACCATTCTGTTAGGGCACCTCCCAACCATCTGATTTCAAATCCCAGCTGGAATTTAATCAAGACTTCTTAAAGACAAGGCATGAGTGAAACGGAATTTCTCTGTTTTGTTTTTTTTTTTTTTTTGGAGGGGGGCAGGGGGACCTGAAAAATCTTCCCCCAGAAACAGGGGAAAGAAAAAGGAGTGTTATAGTGGAAGCAAGGGTATACAGACATCTAGATCAAACATTACCAATGCTTACTTACATGAATTTTAGAAGCACTAATGTCCTGGCCCTAACAATTCATATTATTGAAAGGATCAAAACTGGCAATCAGAATCAAAACTGTAATCAAAATTACAAAAATGAAGTAATTCTCCATTTCTTACTCTCATACATTAAAAGCCAAGACTGGTACTTATGGAACCTTACTCATTGGTAAAAACTGATCTTTGAATAGTGAGCTCATGGATCTATATAGGAATTATTTTGGTCACAATGATACCAAACCAATGCTGTGTTTCATTAATAAAGTTCTTCTGTATTAAAAGAAAAAGTTCTTCCCATCTTTGAACAACTCAACAAAGGAGCAGCAGTCTGCCTTGGCAACCTACAGTTGGCGTGAATTCTTGAGTGCTTGGAAACCACACTCCATGCCCCATGCAGACGGGGAGTGCTTAGACCATAACAGGTTCATCAGCAGCATCTCGGGTCTCTAAGGTGAACAAAACAGGTCCCTGCACCTCTTCTATAGGTGGCAGGAGCAAGAGTGATTCCCCATCAACATGTTGGGAAGAGGGCTGGAGTTACTAGCTTAGAGTGAACCAGCGGGATCCACCTATAAGGGTCATACTTATTTTCCCCACTAATTTTAAAACAGTCTTCAGACTGTTTCCTGCACTCCGCAGGTCAGAGTTAAGTGATACAAAGTTACATGGGGAGGCCTCCCAGACCTTACCAGGTGTGCACTGAAATCCATCCCCGTAATATCCAGGTTGGCAGCGGCAGGAGAAGGAGCCAGGGGTATTGGAGCAGGTGGCCGAGGGGTGACATCTGTTTTCCGAGCATTCGTCAACATCTGCAGCAGTCAGGAAGAGAAAGGGAGGGAAGGAAGGAGCATGATTTCACTGCACACAGATTGTGCCACACATGCCTCAGTGTGCGTGGATCAACACCCAGGCGTCCACTTCAGAAGACCCTCGGGCAGGGGCAGAAACCTACTGGCACCTTTTTTTTTTCTTCATATTGGCACCTTAAAGGCAAGCTTAAGGGTACAGAGTAGTCAAGGGACACGTTCAGTGTAGAAGTCAAACGTGGTCTCTCACACAGAAATATATCCTACATCTTTCTTCTACAGTGAATTCCAGGAAGTTATTACCTTTGAACTAACCTTTAGCCCATAAACCATTTCCTTTCAGTAACACTACAATAAATATATGTAACAATAATTTATTTTTTCCTTTCCTTATTGGCACTGTCTCCCTATAGTACTGATTTATAGATTCAAAAGAACCCAGTGAGGCTCCAACTTAGCTTCTCAACTAACACACACATTCAGTCTTACATAGTCAGAGACTCCTACTACCTAGAATGTCCAAAAATTTTCAGAAATTTAAAAAAAGGAAAATTTTTTAAATCAGAAATTTACTTTCTACCTTTAGAAGAAATATAGAAGTATAAGAAAAATATTATCAGAGGATTTAAGACAACACATAAAAAAGAAAATTTAAATTTGTCCAGGTTCTCAGTACAAACAATTCAGGTCCCAACATTCTCTACACAGTACCACGTGGATTAATTTTCATATTTCTCATAGCTGCAACATCCTGAAACTTCAAACAAAGGCAGACTTACATTCCTTTTATTTACTGAACTCAGTGCAGGCTGACAATAGCAAGACACCGCCCCTACCCTCCACCCTGCTGCCAGGAAAAAAAAAGTCTGACAATCTAACTGCTGAAACCAATGGCCAGTAGTTGAGATAAGCCATCTTCAGAGACAGAAAGTCTTCCTGAGCAAAGAGGGGATCAAAGGGGTGGATCTGATCAAGGCTCAATGGAAAATAAAGCAGTCACACCCAAGCTAACATACAAAAAATGTTTTAAAAATGTGTGGAGAGGGAAAAACCATGGGATGGGATGATCAGCATTAAACCAAGAGGACAGGAGTCACAGAATGAACTACGTCGATTCTGTACAGCTTGTGACAGAGATGCGTGGCTCCCTGGAAGGTGGAGACCTACAGCCCTGAATGTGACGCCAGTCAGCTGGGGACAAATGCTCCTCGCCCAGCCTCCCAGGTCCCAGGTGAATTCTCTCCCGGGGTGATCAGTGCCACACCTGCTGTGACCACGTTGCGCTGAGCCACCTCCCCATCACTAAGGGCTTTTCCCATCTACAAGTAGACGTACTGGACACAACACGTACTGAACGTTCTGTTCAGGGGAAAGGAAAATCTCTGACATCGTAATTAGCAATGTAATCACTTACACTGCTTATCCTCCTGATCCGGCATTTAGCCCCCATTAATTACTTCACTCTGAAGTCTGAACTCTTGAATGCCTGACAAGACCAAGGTTAATGCCACCTAGAGAGACTCTGCCTAGATGAGCATTTGGCCTGCCTGGTTGCCTTCCTTTCACTGACAAAGGCAAGAAACTGGTTATAAATTTATCTGCAAGGTTAAAGTGGTTAGCTCCTCAGTTAACTAAAACTAAACCAAATTAATTACAACAACCAAAAACTTATCTCCAATCTGATCAGTCAGGGCTGAATACTCTCATGTTTCATTATCTTTGAGTTTGGCCCTGTCTGTTCGGAAGGACAACGCCAATGTCCAGTTGGCTGAAGTTGGTGCCCATTCAGTTCCTTGTGCCTTCTATGATGCTATAAAACCAAACTGCAAAAATTAACATCCAACCAAATGCAGGAAATTAAAGCTATTCATAATGCATATGCTAAAATTACTTCTCATGGTAACAGGAACCCCAGGCAATGGCAGGAAGCAGGAATTCCTGAGACACAGGACCTATTTCTAGAACCCATAGATCAGTTGCTTGTGATTACTTTTGTGAATAAAGAGAAAGAGGACTCCCCAGAGGTTCTGAATTATGTTCTTAAAGCCCATGGCCTAGGAATTCCAACCAGACCTGAAAGGGCAGCCATCCTCCCAAAGGCAAAGTCATGGGGAGACAACTTAAGAATGAACAGGGCGAAAGTCTCTGAAGAGACCGAGAGCATCACAGGTGAACAACTCCTGTCCCCTAAAGCTGGAGAAGCTTAAGATTTCCTGAAGCAAGCTCCCCATCTCTTGCTTGGAGGCTCTCGCACCATGTCAGAAAACTGGAGCCCCACCAGCCACTCCAGGGCCTGAGTGCAGAGCAGGCTACCTGCCTTCCTCAGAGGGCCAACCTGAGGAGTGCAGGGGAGTCCAGAGCTTTTGTGTAAAGGAGAAATCTTCCTAGTTTCCCAGGGGATCAGGTGTCAGCACAAAGTATAAAGACACTCTGAACTCCTTCGCAAGGGAGGAGTTTCTTATACTCCTGGGGACAGGGGCCTGCTTAACCATCACTGTCAGGGTCTTCAGGTGCTGGTAGGTCAAGGCAGTAAGGTTCAAGGCACAGCAGAGTCTCTGGCCAGTCAGACAATGCCAGATGGCTTAATCTCAGGGCAATTCTCCATTCTATCTGCCACCAAGCTGCTAAAAAACCTCTTTGGAAAATGTGTTTAAAATTCTCTATTTTGAGTTCATGCTTTGGTGCTTCAACATTCTTATCCCTGCCTTAATTCTGAGTCCACGCCCCAAACCCAGCTGAAATCCCTTCAAAACAAACCAGACCCTGGACTCTACCTTCCCCACCCCAACCCCCCTGGTTTGCTTTCGAACCACCCAGTGAAATTCCCTGGCACCAAGTCTCCCTGATCCCGCTCCAGACCCCAACAAAGGCTTGAAGGCCCATGAGTTGTCACTCCCCATCTACTCAGTCAGAACCCAGATTCTGGCTGTGCCCATGGGGTCTGGCACGGCATGCAGTGACCTGCTCTCTGGGACCTGTGAGCAGCGTCGGCTTCTTCCCTTCAAGCCTTGGTCCCTACATCACCTGTGGCCACACCAACTTTACTATACCTTATCCAGAGTCTGCACTCCTCCCACAAAAGCCACATGTGAGAACAGTGTAAGAAGCCCTCCTCGCGGCCCTTCTGTGGGTAATGGGCCATCTGTAACCCAGTTCCTCAGCTCACATGTGCTCCTCCCTGAAAAGGTCTCAGCTCACAGCAATCTGCTTTTCCATCCAGCAGAGTCACTAAGATCTGCAGGGACAAACGTGCCTGAGAAATATCCAGCTCACACCAATGCAGGATTGAAATCAATCCTGACAGGGGAGCTGGAAAAGATTTCATTCTACTTGCATAAAAATAATTCCTACTTGTGACTCAGGCTAGATCGAGAGCCCAAAGCCAAGGGCAGCCTCCCCAGGGAAACTGGTTTTTAACAAACTGGCTGGAGAAAGAAAAACCCACACACTCTTTCAATGCCAGTTTGATGGACTGAAAACAAATGTGCGCTTTAAGTGTGCTCACTTTTCATAAAACAGAGCCTTCATCGCTATTTTTCTTTTTCTCTATCTCAGTTGTCACTGGGACACATGCACACTGCGACATGCCTTTAAAACTGCGTGCACACACACACATGTTTATACACTTATCCTGCCAGCCACCTTCATGATTAGCCCAGCCTGATCTATGCACAGCAGAGGAAAATGACTGTTATTTTCTACTGCCCCAAAATGTGGACAGCAACCACAGGGTAACTGACTATGAGAGGCAGCCTCTCATAGATGGTCCCAAAGATCCCTTCCTCCTGGTATTCAGGGTCTTCTATAATCCCCTTCCTCTGAGTAACTGGCTTCCAACCAAGACACTAAAGCAATACAGAGGAGACATCACTTTTGTGGTCACTGCCAACCTACTAGCAGGCCTCCTGCTGCTGGCTTTGATAAGGAAGTTACCTTGTGGGAGAGGTCTGAGTGGCAAGAAGCTGAAAGTCACCTCCAGGCAATAGCCAGCAGAGACCTGAAAGTCCTTGGGGAATGCAATCCTGCTGATAACCATGTGAGCCTCTTTCCCCATCTGGACCCCAGATGAGACCCCAGGTCTGACAGACCCCCTGACTGCAGTCTTGTGAGGATCCTAAAGCAAACGAATGAGCTAGACCATACAGATAATAATACTGTGTACTGTTTTAAGCTGCTATGTGTTTGGGGTAAATGGTTACGCTGCAATAGATTACTAATACACTGGGGAAGCAACAGATTGGCCTGGCCTACGTTTAAGTTGTGGGTTCCAGAGAGAATCCCAAAAGTAGAGAAGCAGAGAGAAAACAGGGACAATTGAAAATGTCCCTGAAATCAGAAAGAGGGCAACTGTAGCAAAGAATGACAATCCTAGAAAACTCCCAGCATGAAAGAGTAGCTAATTTCAAGGTCCTACTACAACCCCAGAAGGTAACCCAAGTCCTCCAAGACAAGCAGAAGTTAAAAGAAGGGAGAATGATTTTTGAAGGAGTTAGGACAAGCAGCAGCTCACCTACATTAACATTCTGATTTTAATCCTCATCACATCTAAGCGGCAATTAATTTCAACTTCTTTGTTTTAAACCAAAGCCCTAAGGAATGAAATGCTTTTGAAACACCATCTCAGCTTACCTGAGCAGCCAGATGTTTAAATATGAAATTCTACTGACAAGATTTTTTCCTCTCTGCATTCTCATTTCTGAGAGCCAGTAGTATGTTAAGTCAAACTGAATGATAAGTTTCCACAAGGGAGGAAAAAGCAGTATTCCTACTGTGGGGTTCAGCAGAAACATGAGAGGTTTGTGCGCATCACCTGATGCCTCCCCCACCCCCCACCACCCCCAGACCTAGAGGGTGCCTCCATCTGTATAGGGTATCTGTTTGGAGCTCTCTGGCCAGTCAAGTGGGACAAGTATCTGTGACTTACACTTCTACTCCATCCTAATTTGAAAAGCACTTCACCTCTGTCTAAACCTGGGGGTTTTTAGGGAGAAAAAACAACCTCAGGGCTGAACTGAGTCACAGTTTTGGGTCACTTCAATATAAACTGTGTTTTCAAGAAAGCCATACAGCTAAGCTTCTGTACATCAGAAAGGGAAACGTTCAAGAGCTAGGTTTGAAAAGCCCCACATCTGGAAAGGAGCGGAGGGCTGTGCTGCCCTGACACATCTGTTCTGTCAAGAACATGTGGCTTTAGGCTGCTGGTCCATTCAGCCCATCCAGATGAAACCAAAGGGAAAGGGGAGGAGGAGGAGAAGCCAACAGCTGGTGAGGAGGGCGGGGCCAGGCTATGTGATCTGTTTAAGAAGATCTGATCTATTTAAGAACATGCTATTTGATCTGAGGAGGAGGAGAAGGGGACGACAGAGGACAAGATGGTTGGATGGCATCACCAACTCAGTGGACATGAGTTTGAGCAATCTCTGGAAGATAGTGAAGGACAGGGAAGCCTGGCGTTCTGCAGTCCATGGGGTCACAAAGAGTCGTACAGAAGAGGGACTAAACAACAACAAAGAAGCCCCTAGATCTATATGGCTGTTTTTAGCAAGTTTGCTCAGTGGGCCCAGGTATTCCGGGGCCAGATGCAAAAAGCGATTTGAAAAGAGGGGAAAGCCTGCATTTTAGATTTCTATTCCTAAAACTGACTCCTTTCCCACCATCCTCTCATTTCCAAGTATCTCATTTAACTATTATTTGTGTGTATTACTGACAGATGTTTTGAAGATCTTTAGTGAATTATGTAGGCTTACTGAATGATCTCTATATTAGGTAATACTAACCCCAGTTTCATGAACATTTATAATCAGAGTGTCATGCCTAGTTTTTCAGTAACAACCTCATACATCTTGAAGTTAAATTTGAACAGTTAGTCCTGCTTTCTGGTTTAGTGATTTTATAAAATATGGCATAAAGTCTTAAACAGAGTTATATTTCTGAAAGGAAAGATTTGAGTACTTAGGTATGCATTAATGTCCTTTTATATCTGTGGGTTTTTCTTCTCTCTCTCCCTCTCCCCTTTCAGAGAGAGAGACGAAGGAATAAATTACACAGAAAGAATTGTATGTATGTTTAGAGGTTGCTTCAAATACCACTTCAAACAGGGGAATAGCAACTAAAAACTGGGCAAGACTGGAAGTGCTGAATTAAGTCATTAGCTAAAGAGACTGAAGGATGGAGACTTCCTCCCAGGGGAATATACAATTTTCCCTCGCATCCCTCCGAGCTACACTAGCTCCAGGGAACAGGAAACTGCAAGCTGGCAGAAGCTCCCCACTTCTCCAGGCACGTCTCCTCCAAGGACAACCATACTCGCTCAACAGTCTGGTGCCAAGGCAATCACATTTGGCCTCTGACTCAAAGGACACCTTTTTTTTTCCCCTCTTCCAGCAGTTCCAGGAGGTGTGAGTCAAAGGAAAGAAAACGTTTCTGAGAGGCCCTGGGGATGTGGGGATGTGCATCCAAAGCAACTTTCAGGGTCACTGAGCCGCCCACAGGCACTCACCGGTGCACCGGTGCCCATCTCCGGCATAACCAGGCAGGCAGGCGCAGCTGAAGGAGCCGTCTCCATGGTGAATGCACCGGGCCTGGCTGGCGGGAGCACAGTTGTGACGGCCATCCTCACAGGGGTCGGGAGGTGGGGCGATCACTGAAGAGGGAAGAAGGCAAAGATGTCCAAGAGCCGAGGCCTGCGAATGGGTGAGCCCTGCTCTTTGCAGTGTGATCTGCACACCAACAGCATGAGGACACCTGGGGGTTCATAAGGAATTCAGTTCCCAGACCCAACCCAGAGCCAGTGAACTGGAATAGGAATTTTAACAAGATCCCTGGATGGTTGTACGCAAATTACAATCTAAGAAGTGCCAGTCTTGGTTTGTGGCCATAACACTAACATGAAAATAAGTCGTCAGCAAATGTCCTTGACTAAAGCAGAACACTGCTGCTTGGCATGCCTGTGTGTACATGTACATATACACATACACACACACACACACACGAGTCTCTATGAGTGCTGGTACCTTTTCATCTCACTGGATTCAAAAGTGGGTTTTCTCTAATATCATCTAGCTCTAACAATGGAATGACTTTGCAATTCTAGTTCTTTTGAATCCACTCTTATGTCAAGTATTATTCTGGAACTCTAGAAAGGGTATATTTATTACCAATGGAGCTTTCAGTCAGTCAAATAGGTCAAGCCTCTTTGAATTACAAAATCCATGTCATTCTGATTTGAGAAACACTTGACCTCTATCTAGAGCTGCTGGTATTAGAAAAGTCCACAGTCTTACTACATGATTGGGCTAAACATCAAGCTACACAGCAGTCCTGACAGAGGTGAACATCCTTCCATGATTTAGACCAAAAATTTCTATTTAGATAGATAAATAGCACAACACAACAACAAAAACCTAAACAAAACCAAAACCCCAACACACAGGACTGAACTGAGCCATAGCTTTGGGTTCTTTCCATGTGAATTGTCTGTTTCCTAGAAAACCATGCAACAGAGCTTCTGTAGAGCCACAGTGTAAACAGTCATGCATTCTGGAGCACTAGTGGGCACTCACAGATGCAGGTATGCCGGTCGTCTGCAAACTCGTAACCACTCCGGCACTCACATCTGTAGCTCCCCAGCAAGTTGACGCACACAGAGTTGGGGCCACAGCGGTGGAAGCCAGTTGCACATTCATTGACATCTAAGGAGGAGTAAGAACAAAAAGGGCTGCTTAAACCAAAGGCCCCACAAGCAGAAGGTCTGCAGACTTGGTATTCTCTCACCCCTGAGAGGTTTCAGTGGGACTAGCGGTCAGTAGACTAAACAGGGGGCAAAGTGCAGGCTGCCTCAGCACCAGATGTAGATGCACACTGCAGACTGTCATAAAAATAAACGTTTATTTCAAGTCATTCAAGTATGAGCTCCAGGGAGATATGTTCTGAACAAATATTCTGAGAATTCTTTAAACATTTAAGCCATTCTGAACATTGAGAAGAAAAACACTGAGTAACCATGTTTCTTTTAAAGTGTAAAGAAATCTCCATGACTGCTTTTGAGATACAGTAACTGAAAGAAATGGATGAAATGGATGTCCGAAATCTGAAGGTAACCAGAAAAATGTACTCTTTAGTGAATGTAAAAAATACTTGATTCAGGCTCAAAATGACAAGATTTAAGAGTATAAAATATCCACAAATTACAATAGCCCTAAATACCCACTCCAAACTATTCTGGTAAACCTAACCAGAATATGCCTGGTTTTTAAATAGTTGGTATTTTTAGATGAAGAGCTGCTAAACTCATTGACCCATGGAGATGACAAAACAGACACTTGTCTTCTATGGACAGAATGCTGGAGGCCTTCATGGAGGAACACAGGGCACCGGGGTCTTACCCACGCAACTCCGTCCATCTCCCTGGTACCCAGATGCACACTCGCAGGTGTAGTCCACACCTGTCGCCGGATGGCACCGAGCTGTGGTGGCACATGTGTGGCTCCCATCGTAGCAAGGATTCACTGGGGTTGGCTCGGAGTCTCCTGGGTGGGTAGAGAGAAAACACAAAAGAAAAGCACAATCTGGCTGTCATCAAGAGAATGGCACAGAAGGAAGAAGATCGGCAAGTGGAACTGGCTGTGGACTTGTAAGGTTGAGGCCTGCCTGGAGACCTTACTAAATTAATATCTAAAGTGAGGGTGGATCATCTGCATTGCAGTTCTCAATTCCAGAATGGCTGCCTCTCGCCTACTCTGCAGATAACTAACCTTTTCTTATTTACAGCAGGTTTGTGTCCAGGGAATAAAAATATCCAACACATAGCATCCTTTTATTTAAAAATACTTTCATTCTATCATCTTCTGTGATTCTCAGGATAATTCTGTGAGGCAGGCTGTCATTCCTTTTATTGGTAATTTTCACCAATAAGGAAAATAAGCAAGAGACATTAGAAAAATTGCCCAAGCTCGGAAAGTCAGGAAATGGGACAGCAACACTTATACCCAAAATTTCTGCCTCTGAATTTTGCAGTCTCACTAAGTGCACTATTCTATGGGTCAAAATTCAATTAATGAGAAAATCTTGCCTTTTTTTTTTTAAAGATTTATAAGACCAAATAAATGGGAATAACTTGTGTAGTATTTACTCTTTAGGATTAACCTTGCCATGGCTCCATCTGACCACTAGGTAGTGATGACAGTTAACATCTGAAATCTTCCCTGAATCTACTAGATTGAGTGTAACAGTAATGCGTATTAAGCACTTATGTGCCAGGCATTGGTCTAAACCATTGCCTACTCTATTCTATTAATTACTCATGACCATACTGTGAGGAATGTATTATCATCTTCCTTTTACCGCAGCACAGAGAGATCAAGTAACCTGACCAAGGTCACACAGCCAGAAGAGGTGGAGGAGTCCAAAAGTCAGGCAGAGGCCATGCTCCCCAAATCACACAGGCATGCTTGGAAGTCCCTCATCCCTCCCCTCTGATTCTCTTGCCAGACAGTCTGGAAGTATAGCATTTGGGTTGTGGTGGCAGGGTTAACTTGATATTACTGACCAGGGTCCTGAGTCAGTCCCCAGTGTGTGCTGCAGTTGAAAACAACAGGGTCATGTCTTCACTGAAGGCCCCACATGAGACAAAGACCTGCCTGCCTCCCTTTATTCTCTCTCCATTTTAGGAGAAGGTTTTCTACCAAATTCCTGACCTACCCAGCCAAAGGAAGAAGTGAGCTTTGAGATATATTAGTTTATAAATACTAATGGCTTAGCCTTCTTGTTCAGTGCTCTCCAGCATCAAAACTTCACCATGGCGCATTCCAGCAGAGATTAGTGAGTATACATAATGTCAGGAGCTTACCAGCCTGAGAGGCATTACAAGGAGAAGAAAAAAAAAAAAAAAAAATGCAGCCCAGAAGTTGATTGGCAAACTTGGACAGGATACACTAGCCTACCTGAAATTGAGGAGAAAGTGTGAATACCTGCATCATACTGACTTAAAATAGCCTTCACTGACAGCACAGCCACATCATTTGCTGAGCCCAATGCAAAACAAAACTGTGGAACTCTTTGTTAAAAAATTATTAAGAGTTTCAAGACAGTGACAGCACAGCTTTAAACCAAGTATCAGCCAATTTCTGAGCCTGAGGCCCTATGCTCAGAATTTGGTTTCCAAAAACACTATATTAAAAATCCATTTTTAAAACTGTGAGTCTATTCATTCTCTGTGACTAGTTAGCTTTTCTCCTATTATAGTAAGTAAAGAAGAGCTGTAACCTTCTTAAGACATTTTCTATTTCTCCCTCTCCCTCTTGAACAGTTTGACTCTCTGACAGAGGATCTGGAACTAATTTAGTCATTTAATCAAGAGAAGACTGGTTTTCCTTAAAGGAACAGTCCGTTCAGCTTCAATGCATGGCCCTCTGCCCAAAGGCTCCTCAACTGGAGAGCTGAGCCCTGAACTGGGATCAAGGGCAGGAAGCATTCCTGGATCCTGTCCTGCGACCCCACCAACACCAGCCAAGCCACATGGGAAGCTCAAACACTTGGGCAAGGCAGGGGGCTGGCTGGTGGTCAAGGAGAAGGGGCTCCCTGGGAAGACTGCCTCCTGAACCCTGGACACCCAACTGGGAGCTCCCACGTCAGGTGGGGCTGCTGTTTTGTTTCACACACATTCCAACCAGATGATCGCTCCCTCTGGAAAAAGGGAAAGGCTGTTAAGATACTTGCAGGCACTGAGAGAGGAAAGAAAAGAGGCTGTGTTTTTCTTTTTAATTTTCTTCTTTCTTCCCCATTTTCCTCCTATTTGGATAGAATGAACAGTATTGCTGTTTTACATAGGGGTGGATGGATGAGCAGGGCTGAAAAACACAAAGGGTAAACATCCACATTCCTTCTTTTAAAATTTGATCTATGTTACAAGGCAGTCCTGGAGTCTGTGGGGTCCACGGGGAAGACCCATGAGTGAGGGGTGACAGTGGGCTCTGGGTCTGGCGTCGGATTTGAGCCCCGGCTCAACTCTTCCAGCTGTGACCAGGCTAATTACTTCATGTCTACACCATTGTCTCTGTAAAAGGGAGTAACAGTCCCTTGACTGGTAGGGTTGTTGTGGGGATTTGATGAGTTAAATTCATGAAAGGTACTTAGAACGGTGCTTGGCATCAAGTAAAACTACTACCACTACTACCGCTAATAATTATTATTATAATACCTGGGTAGCAGGGAAAAAATCATGTCATTCTAAAAGCAAATTAGCAAGCTGGTACCCGCCAGTTTGTGGGCTTTCTGACCTTTTGCTACTCCCTTAAGGTGTGTCTCGAGGAAAGATATACCCAGAGAGCTGTCTTTTCCATAACTGATTCCAGAGTCTGAATGGGACTCCGGCCTGGGAGGTTCTCCCACTAAGTTACTTCCCTTACAGATCAGACTCCTACACCTAGCGAAGGGCTGAACCGGATATTCAAAGGTGAAGGTCGTTTCCCCCAAGTCTTTCTGTTGAAATCTCTCCTTAAGAAATCAGCAAAAACGGATCTTTTCCTTCCTTCTGAGGTACATGTTTCTATAAAGTCAGCTGACATTTTCATGCTATTAATTCACTACATTATAATCCCTTCTTCAGACACTCAGCGGCTGTGCCCCCAACCAAGTTTCCCAAAACTGAACCAACCAAACACACCAGCAAGCTCAGGATTCCTGTTCTGTGTCACCTCTACACTCCACAGGGGAACCCAGTCCTCTTTATCTCCGGTTATCATACTGCTGAAGTGACCGCTGCCCGGAGAGCCCGAGGAGGTGGTAAAGGAGGCCTCCGCTCTGGTGGTAAAACATAGACTTGCTAGTTATGAACCCACCTGTCTGAGGTGCAGATTCTGGACTCGGCAGTATCAGTACTGCTGAGTATCAATAGAACTGAAGGGAAACATTCGTTATCATCATGTGCCTCTAGTCTTCAAGAACAAAACTGCCTACTGGCTTTCAGAATTAAAATGTCCCCTTGATCTGACAAAGTCATTTCCCAACAGCATGGTTCCCTGGCTTCCAGGCTCATCCTCTGGCTTGCCTAGAACATTTAATTTTAAAAGTTTAAACACACTTTATTCTTTAAAACAGTTTTAGGTCATCAAAAAATTTAGCAGAAAGTATAGAGTTTCCATAAAAGGTGAAAGTGAAGTCGCTCAGTTGTGTCCGACTCTTTTCAACCCCACGGACTGACTATAGCCTACAAGGTTCCTCCGTCCATGGGATTTTCCAGGCAAGAATATTGGAGTGGGTTGCCATTTCCTACTCCAGGAGATCTTCCTGACACAGGGATTGAACCCGGGTCTCCTGCATTGTAGGCACACGCTTTACCATCTGAGCCATCAGGGAAGTCACATAGCCACCNTTCCAGTTCTGACCCTGACTTCCCTATGACCTTATGACAAAACTCCTGCTTGGACTGATGTTGAAGCTAAAACTCCAATATTTTGGCCACCTGATGCGAAGAACTAACTCATTTGAAAAGACCCTGATGTTGGGAAAGATTGAAGGCAGGAGGAGAAGGGGACGACAGAGGATGAGATGGTTGGATGGCATCACTGACTCAATGGACATGAGTTTGGGTAAACTCCGGGTGTTGGTGATGGACAGGGAGGCCTGGAGTGCTGCAGTTCATGGGGTCGCAAGGAGTCAGACACAACTGAGCGACTGAACTGAACTGAACTGAAAACAGGTCAGGAAAAGCTGAAGCTCCACAGGTCCCTGACTGCCCTACACCATGGCATGAACACAGGCCCATCCATCCTCCCACCCCCATGGTCCAGGCTGAATTTATGGCTTCTGCTGCCTGCAGCCGAGGCCCTTTGTATATGGCTGGTACCCCTGGCGCCCAGCAGAAAATGAAAGTCGCTCAGTCGTATCTGACTCTTTGCAACCCCATGGACTATACAGTCCATGGAATTCTCCAGGCCAGAATACTGGAGTAGGTAGCCTTTCCCTTCTCCAGGGGATCTTCCCAACCCAGGGATCGAAACTGGGGCTCCCGCATTGCGGGCAGATTCTTTACCAGGGGCAGAACAGCATGGTAAACACTGCATAACACCTGCCCTCCCTGCCACCCCCAAAGAATAGAAACTGTCCAGGACCAGCTTCCGATGAGGGGAGCTCTTCTTCCTAAAAGACTCTCCTGCTGTCTCCTCCCTGGGGATGGGAGACAAAGAGTGAGACCTCGCAGTGTATAGAGTGAAGCTGAGCGACCCCTCAGCAGTGCCCGGTGGGTTCCCTGAGTGGGGCGGCAGGGACCTGGTGGGCACTTCCCAAGGGACCCCGCATGCCAGGCCACTGAGCAGCTTCAGCCCTCCTGGGAAGGTTGGGTTCAATCCCAACCCCGTGCTCCCTGTGCTGCAGATTCCAGGGACCTTGGGGGCGCGAGATTTTCCACCTTCCGAATGCAGTTCTGTGCTGCAAAGGAGCAGGCCCTGGCAGTCATCTGGCTCTCAAAATGGGTGCCACAGAAACAGCTGAGAGCTGGCAAGCCTGGTGGCCCTGAGGGTCAGCGTCTGTCAGTCCGCATTAAGATATGCAAAGCCGAGGTGCCTGCGCAGCCGCTGTCGCCTCTCGGCCTGGTGCGTAATTGGTATCAACTGTTTGATTGCGATAATTGCTACTGTCTGGGGAAGTGGCTTCCAGGCCCCAGTGGGACAAAGCCCAATTTGCAGGCGGCTGGGCCCACTGCCGGGGCTTCCCGTGTAGCTCAGTTGGTAAGGCATCTGCCTGCAGTGGGGAAGACCTGGGTTCAACTCCTGGGTTGGTAAGTTCCCCTGGAGAAGGAAATGGCAACCCACTCCAGTATTCTTGCCTGGAGAATCCCATGGACAGAGGAGCCTGGCGGGCTACAGTTTATGGGATCGCCAAGAGTCAGCCATGAGTGAGCGCTGTCTTTGTGAGTGTGTGGTCCACTGCTGACCCTTGAGTGCCTCCCCTACCCTTGGTTCTTCCGCCTACTGTTCCTGGAGACTGCAGGCCTGGGACTCCTGTGAGACCCCCGCCCATCTCTCCCTCTTTCTGAGAAGGAGGAATGGGAGGAGCGAGGTCTGTCCCCCTCCCCCTGACAACACAAACAGCACTCCTTCTGGAGGAGCAGGAACAGGCAGGCTCAGGCCTGCAGGATTTACCCCAAGCCCCACACTCCCCAGCCCATAATGGTCACAATAGCAGTTACCTTCCTGGCTATTATCTTGGCTGCCCCTGACCGGAGCCTGCTATGATGAGATGAGATGAGAAAACTGAGCCTCAGGGACTGGTCTGTGCATTATAGGATGTTAACAGCATCGTGTTTAGCTTCTACCCACTACGCACACTTCTTCCCACTTATGATAACTACAGATACTTCCAGAAATTGTCAAATGTCCCCAAGAAGGAGGGAGACAAACCATCCCCAGTTGAGAACCACTGGATCCAGTTGGATCCCCGTTGTGTCAGGAACCAAGTGTCAGACTCACCTGGTTCAGTTCATTCAAAGAAAATTTTCTGCATCGTCTGACACTGTAGGAAAAAGACCTGAGAGCCAGGTTAGTCAGGCCTGCAGAGAAGACAAAAGAACACTTCCTGCTCTCAAAACAGCTTGGTGGTTAAATACATGGCATTTGCTGTCAGACGGCCTAGGTTTGAATCTCAATTGCCATTACTGGGTGAATATCTGTGCCTCAGTTTCCCCACCTGCAAAGGGGAGGCAATTATAGTAACTACCTCATCAGCTTATGATGAGAACTGAACAGCTCGTGTTTGAAAGAACTGATATCTAGAAGAGGCCTGGAACATAGTAAGCCCTCAATAAGTGTTTGGTAAATAAAATAGAAATAAAGCACTTCTATGTGGGCGGGGGTGGTTTAGCCGCTA